TCATGCTTACTGCTGAAGTTAATCATTTAAGATGTTTGTGGTCTGGGTATTTATTTCTTTGTTACATTGCTTATTTCTCTGCCAATTTTTCTTGTGAGTTTGTCTTTTTAATTTGCAGGAGCTCTTCATTTATTCCAGATAAAATTTTTCATATATAAAGCTAATACTTTCTCTTGTTCTGTTATGTAGTGTTGTTTATGGTGTCTTTCACTGAAAGATGTTTCAGCTTTCAGAGGGTTTGGTTTTGTTTTGGTGTGGTTTTTAGGAAGGCAGATCCCCACTGAGCCATATCCCCAAAACCTTGTGCAGTGACAGAATCATTGCTAATGAGATTTACCCAAGATACAATTATTGATAATTGAAAACTTTTCCCAAAACTTCTATTTCACTTCCTCTTGTTTGTTCATTTTTATTTTATTGAGTTGAGTGTCTCCCTGCAATATAAGGTTGGGCCTGAATTCCTGGGCTTGTGGGATCCTTCGTCAGTGTCCAAGTAACATTGCCATCATGCCTAGATCTTAAGTCATTTTTGAATGATGCATTTATGAAGTCTTTAAATGCTAGTGTTTCCTCTTAGTCATTATCTTTGTGTTCTTTTCATTTTCTGCATTGTTTCTGTTTCTTTAAAGCCACTATTAATTCTTAAATTGTTTTCTTGAAGTTATGAATAAGCCTATCCTTCTGTCCCACCCTACTTATGCAATTCTTTTAAAACATCCCTTATCTCAAGTCTTTGCTAACCTTACTATAAAGGCTACCAAACTCTGTGATCTGCAAAGATCTTTTACATCTTTTCAAAGCAAGATGTAAAATCTCTTGCCTATATTTTACACACACTTTTGAGTAGCAATTGCAGTAGTTCTAAATTAGTTTTACAGAGCTCTCTAGTTGCCCAGGCTGGGCTCCAACTTGCCATTCTGCAGCCTCAGCCTCCATAGTGCTGGGTTTATAGGCATGGGCCACAATGTCCAACTCCCTTGTGAACTCTAAGCAGTTCCTTGATGCTTTTGCATTTCTGCTTAGCAGAGGCTGTTCCTCTTTGGTAGGAAGTTTTAAAAGAGAAGTAAATTCAAAGCTGCTTCTTGCAACATCGGTTGGTACATAGAAAAGTTTATGTGTTTCAGCCTATATTGAGCATCATTTCAGTTTTCACTAAGGTCATTAGATTGCTTTTGTAGCATTTGTTAGCACACTTGATGCTACTGTGTAGATTTCTCTCTTAATTTTACTCTGAAATTCTAAAGATAGGTTGCACACATATATCATATCCTATTGCCCCTTTGCAGTGTGCTGTGTATATTCAGAGCAGGATATTTTTTCTTTTCAATTTTTATCTTGTAATTAGTGCATATTTGTAGTGCTAGTAATGATTCACTCCACATGGGAAGCTGGTCATTATATTTTGGGTTTCTTATATAAGAAACTATGCAGTATTTAAGCTTGTGTGTCTGATCTATTTCACCTAACATTCAAGGTGCATCTGTTTTCCTAAAATAACTTAAAAATTTATCCTCCTTCATGGCACATAATACTCCACTGTGTATAACTACACATTTTCTTTATTTATCTATTGATGGACATATAAGCCATTTCCAAGATTCAGCTATTATGAATTCTGCTATAAATATGGGTATGCACATATCACTGTAATATGATGTCTAACTTTCAGGAAGAGTCTTATAAGGGGAATAGCTGGGTCAAATGGAATTTTGAACTTTAGTTTTTTGAGAAACTTCCATATTGATTTCAGATGGTTGTACTAGTTTAGATTCCCACCAACAATGTCTGTAGGTTACATTTTCCCTACCAACATTTGTTTTAATTTCATTTCTTGATGATGACTATTGTTTTTGCACTAAGATAGAATTTCAGGATTGTTTTAATTTGCATATCTCCAGTAGTCAGTGATGCTGAACATGTTTTCCGTGAATTTATTGGCCATACTTTATACCTCTAAGAAGCCTCGTTTTAGTTGCCCATTTCTTGGATTGAGTCTTATTTGGGGGAGGATCTACTTTTTAATTGTTTGTATATTCTAGACGTTAGACCCTTCTCTAAGGAATAGCTGACAGTTTTTTGCCTTATCCTGTAGGTCATCTCTTTGCTCTGTTGTTTCTTTTGCTAGAGAAAAACTTTTTATTTTGATATTCCATTTATTGATTCTTGGTGTGATTTTTTTCTACGATCAGGGTTCTGTTCAGAAAGTCCTTGTCTATGCCTATGTCTTTAAGAGTTTTATTTATTTCATCTTCTAGCAGATTGTTCGAGTTTTAACATTTAGATCTTTGATCCATTTTGATTTCAGTTTAGTACAAGGTGAGAGTGTACAGATCGAGATTCAGCATTTGGCATGTGGATAGCCAGTTCCCACAACACCATTTATTAAAACAGTTATCTTTTCTCCAGCATGTATTTCTGTCAAAGATTAGAGAGCTGAATGTCCCTGGGATTGTTTCTACATTCTCTGTTGACCCACATGTGTGTTTTTGGACCAATGCCATGCTGGTTTTTTTTTTTTTTTTAATCACAATAGCTTTGTAATATAACTTAAAATCAAGGATTGTGATGCCTCCTGCTTTGTTATTACCCAGGATTGCTTTTGCTATACTGGATCTCTTCTGGTTCCACATGAATTTTAGAATTGTTTTCATTACTTTTATGAGGAATGCTGATGATATTTTGATTGGGATGGCATTAAATCCATCTATCAGTTTTAGAAGGCATTTTCAGTGCATTAGTTCTGCCCATCTAGAAATGGTATATTTTTCCATTTTCTGATGTCCTCTTTGATTTATTTTTGCAGAGAACTATAATTTTTGCCATAGAGGTATTTTACTTACTTGGTTAGGTTCAGAGCAATAGTATCTTATATGCACATATCATATTCAGAACTTTAAATATATATAATACTTCTGTATCATCTCAAGCATATTTTCCAATTTTTTCAGTTATCTCAGTAATGTCCTTTATAGTATAATGTGTTATCTTCTGTTATACAATCCAGTGTGTGACCAGGTTTTGTATTTAATTATCATCTATTCAGTTTTAAGTTACAGTAGGTGTTAGTTTTTGTCTTTGAAGAAAACAGATTAATTATTTTGTATTACTTGTCTCTTGATTCTTGATAATGTGAATAATCATGTAAGTTGCTTGGATTGGTAGTCATATTTTATGAAATAAGCAGATGAAGTAAATTCATAGTGCACAAAAAAGATTGGTGGTAAGGGGCTGGGGATTTAGCTCAGTGGCATAAGCACCTGCCTTGTAAGCAGGCGTTCGTGAGTTTGATCCCCGATTGGTGGTAGAGGAGGAGCAATAACTGCTCGGTGGATATGGTATTTCCTTATGGGTGATAAAAATATTTTGGAACTACATAGATGGAGGTGGTGAAGGTAAGGTTAAGAATTTTTTTACTGCCTATAACTCCTTCACTTTAAAATAACTAATTTTATATTACACGAAATTCATTTCAGTAAAAATTAAGTTTTAAAAATTTCATATGTAAATGGTTTTGCTGTTTCCAAACTGAATTTTTCAGTGTTGTAGTTTGGGTTTGCAAGGCAAACAATCTAATACAAGACACATAATTTATAGAATTATTTTATAATAGTCACCCAAACAGTCAAATGCAAAAAGAGTGCAGGAAATCTTCCCAGCTAAGAATCTGGATCCCCTGGCAGTGTCCTGCATGTGTCTAACTGAAGACCTGGAGTCCATGACCATGCTCCCCATGAGTCCAACTGCAGGCCTGAAGCCCATGACAATGTCTCATGCAAGTCTGTTTCACATATCTGTGCTGGGCCCAAAGGTCAGTGATGGAAGCTAGAAAGTCTATGCCAATGGAATGAAGGATCTGTGCCAGCAGAATGAGAGATCTGCATTGGAGCCAGGAAATGATGCTCCGAGTGAGGTTTAGAACTCCCCCAAAGTGAACCGAAGCCATTCCCAGTGACAACAAGGTCTTAAGCTCCTCTGATGATGAGAACAGCCTAGTTCATTTCAGGAAAGGCAGCAGAATGAGCTTCTCCAGAAGAATCAATAGTAGACCATTGTTCCCTCCAGTTCTCATGTTTATGTTGTTGGCAACAATTGTCAGGTGTGGGTCCTCTACACCCAGCACTGTGCTAATTCATTTCAGCTGGGTGTTATAAGTTGACCACCAGTTGTCAACCCTCCCTCAGCAAATAGGAATTTAATTTGAAAAAAAATTGCAAGAAATAAAAAAATTGCTGCATGATAATTGTAGTGATTGAAAGACATAAATAAGCAATTTTTCTATTGCAAATCCTAATTTGCAGTAGGAAAATGCAGAAGAATCTTAATACCTCCAAATATTAACATTTAATTTGTAGTTATTTTGAAATTTTCCATGTTTATGATGAGTGTAAGGGACAACAGTTACTTCATATATTTTCTAGACAATTTATATGGTTTTTAATGTTAAACAACAGGTTTTCTGTGACAAAAACTTCTGATTTATTAATTTTAAACATTGAATGTAGCATTAAATGTAGAATTAAAATTCTAGGTCTAGATTAGAAATTTGAGTGGTTCTTGTCCTCTGAATGTATGTATTCTAGCTTTTCTATTATTTACCTTTCTGCCTTAAAACTAAGTTTCCAAACTCATTAAATAGAGCTCACTTTGCTGTTTAGGTGCTGTGTCCTTGTTTTTTAACCTGTGTGTTGGTTTCTCTTAAAAGTGGGAGAGACATACCTTGGTCTTAGGTGAATTAGAAGGTTAAATGTTTAGCGCAGAGTCTGGCATATAGTAGGTGGCACCTACAAAGTAGCAGTGATCATTATCCAAAAATGTAATTGTGTAATGAAAGTTCTCTGCTTTTTTACAGTACTATAACCCATGAAAATAGAAATATATTCTCAAAGAGCATTTTCACATGTGGAAATACAAGCTTTCTAAATTTTGCTTTGAAAACATCACCTGATGTTTGTGCAGTTTTACATGTTTCTCACTGGTGATTTATTTGCTTATTTTACCAGGTAAAAGAAAAGATGTTTTCAAGATTAAGAGCAGCTGCTACTCCTTGTTCTTTGGCATGCCGTCATTTGCACACGAAGGAGAAAGGCAAGCCACTCATGTTGAATCCAAGAACAAACAAGGTTAGTTATGTTAATGCCAATATATGTTTTCTTTCCTCCTGATATGGGGTTGATATATTTTAGACTAGTAAGGCATGAAATTATTGTAGTTGATAGCTTTATACTAAGACCTTTCAAGAGTATTTGCTTTCTTTTAACTCTGCATATGACAGAAACCATGCTGCTTTAGTTCTCCTAAATTTCAGTCTTCACAACTTTTTTTTTTTTTTTGTAAGTGGTAAAATACAACAGAACAAGACAGAATAAAGCCAAGTAAGATCATACAGTGAAAATGGTACAGAACTTCATAGCAGGTTACCGGGATAACAGTAATAGGATTCGCAATATATTTCATTATCTTTATAATAGTTGTTCTTTCAGTCACATATATCAAAATGAGATGAAATACAGAACATTATAGAACTTATCAAAACAGAATATTGAATAGAACAGTACCATTAATCAGAATAGAGCAAAACAGTAATAAAAATATTTGCCTTCAAAGAGATGGTAGAAGGAAGTCCCCCTTATTTGCTATGGTCAGCCTCCCTGGAGACGCTCAGATTTCTGGTTCCCATTTGCTAAGGGGGGGTGGTGTAGCAGAAGGGGGGTAAGGGAAGTGGGATGTTTGACTCTAGGCTGTGCATCAGTAGGTTCACTATTGCTTAGCAGGGAGGTAGGCTGTTTGTTTGGTTTCACGGCATCTTAAGTTCCAACATGGTATAGATCTCAGGAGCTGCTGCTGGAAGGGCTGCAGTCTGCCAGATCGCCACCGCTTACCAGGGAGGGGAGGTGCTTGCTTGGCTTCCCAGTGTCCTAAGTTCCAACATGGCATGTATCTCAGGAACTGTTGCTGGTTCTCCCCCAGTCTTCATAATTTTTACTATCTGATATAACTTGATCTGACTTCCTAGTGCTATTTTCAACTAGCACTGAGTCAAGACTCTTTTGCCAGATGTGGTATATTGAACTTTGCCTAGCCTAAAGCAGATATTAACCTTGGGCCTATCAATTAGTTTTTTGGAGGGTGGGTCCAAAATTGTGAAATGAACCTTTATCCAAAATGCACCCTGCCCCACCTCCATCTGGATTTTTGGACACAAGTCATTACATACAAATAACTGTGTTCTCATTAAATTGGGCTAGTGCTTCAAAGGACAGAGCCCCTAATTTTGTTGTCATCCTTAGAATGGAAGTGATTGACAACATTGAGATACACCCTGAATTCATCCTTTGTCTAATCTGGGTTTCTGGGTTTAGTGGGCAAATCCTTCTTTTTTTTTTTTTTAGACAGGATTTTGCTGTATAATTCAGGCTGGCCACTAACTAGTGGCAGTGCTCCTGCCTTAGCCCTCCTGAGGGCTTGGATTATAGAACTGCACCCTCAGGAGTACAAGCTCACGCCCTGCATCCCGCACAGCTGTGGCTGGGTAATTGCTACACCCAAACCCTTTAGCAGGCAGACTGTAGTAGAGAGAAAGGAGGTGGGGGGGGAGAGAGAGGAGGAGGAGGAGGAGAAAAGAAGGAGAAGAAGAAGAAGAAGGAGAAAGGAAGGAGAAGAAGAAGAAGAAAGAGAAAGGAGAAAAAGAAGAAGAAAGAGAAAGGAAGGAGGAGGAGGAGGAAGAAGAAGGAGAAAGGAAGGAGAAGAAGAAGAAGAAGAAGAAAGAGAAAGGAAGGAGGAGAAGAAGAAGAAGAAGAAGAAAGAGAAAGGAAGGAGGAGAGGAAAACACATCCCTCTCTATTTTTAGTGGCAACATTAAATATTACACATCATAGTTAATAGGACTGGACTTTGCTGGGCATGGCAATACATGCTTATAGGGCTATAATATCAGGACAGGGTAGTCTGAGGCAAGAGTCTCAAGTTTGTGGCCTCAAGTTGGTGGACTCCGTAGTGAGATCCTGTGTCAAAAGCAAAGAGTTTCAATTCCATCTTCATCCTTTGTTTCCCACATAACTCTGGGTATCAGATCAAGCTTTGAAGCATCTCAGCAGAAGTCATATGAAAAAGAAAAAGAATCATAGCTCTTACTTTCTGGGCATTGATTAAAATAAGGCTTTTGACATATGCTTCTGGTATGTGGTTAAAAATTCATAAATAATGACTTTGGTTGTGACTGAATGGTAGAAGACTGCATGCTTAGCAATAGCAAGGCCTGGGTTCAATCCCTAGCACCAAGGAAATTGACTAAATATAGCTACGATTAAGTATGTATTAAATAATAAATATCTGGCAAACAGATTGCCAGGCAGGCAAACATGAGGTCCTGAGTTCAAGTCCCATAATAAATATCTGGCAAACACGAGGTCCTGAGTTCAATTCCCATAATAAATATCTAGCAAACAGATTGCCAGTCAGGCAAACACAAGGTCCTGAGTTCAATTCCCAGTACCCCCAACCAAAAAATAAAAGAAGAGCATCAAAAATTTGCAAATCCCTACCTGGATGTGGTGCCTCATGCCTGTAATCTCAGCATTCCAAAAGCTGAGGCAGGAGGATTGCCACAAGTTTGTGGCCATTGTGGGTTATATAATGAGTTTAAGGCTAACCTGAACTACACAGTAAAACCCTGTCTCCAAAACAAAAACAAAACCATGGCCAATTCCATCTTTTATCAGAAAAATAATATATATAAGTTTCCCAGGATTCTAGGCCCTCACTGGAAATTTTACCAAGGATCGTTCAGAGCACCTCATCTTTGCATTCTTGAAATTTGCCACAGAGTCAGAATTCAGCAAGCAGTTTGTCTTAGTTACTTTTATGTCACTGAGACACAATACGTGATATCTGCAGCTCTTAAGAAGAAAAGGTTTATTTTATTTCATACTCTGTAGAGATTTCAGTCCACAATGGTCTGGCTCCACTACATGGCAGCATGGCAGAACAGAAACAGCTCATGGCGTGGCAGTAGGAAACAGAGAGATCAAGGGAGGAGAAAGGGAGATTTACCCTTTTAGGTCATGTCTCCAGTGTCGTAGCTTCCACTTAATGATACTTCCTGGATATTGAATAAGGCTTTTGCATCGTGTCTGGTATGTGGTTAAAAATTCATAAATAATGACTTTGATGGTGACTCAGTGGTAGACTGCATGCTCAGCCATAGCAAGACCCACCTCCTCTCACCAGGCTTCACCTCCCAGATCACATTTAGCTGTAAATATAAATTCACCATTGGACTGGACCACTGATTAGTATTGTGCCCCCATGATCCAATCACCGTCCCAAAGCCCCAACTATGAGTGCATAAGGCCTTAGGGGGATATCTGTATATAAACTATATCATTCTGCCCTGGTCCCCAAAAGACTCATGCTTACCTCTATGAAAGATGCATTTAGTCCATATCTATGAGTTGTCAAAGTCCTGATAGTTTTAACATTGCCAAAAAGACCAGGTCTAGAGTCTTCTCTGAGATTTAAGGCAAACTGTTAGCTGTGAGCCCGGGTAAAGATGAAAACTTAAACACTGCTAACCTACAAGGCCAGCATCCGATAGCATACAAAGGCCAATATCCAAAAGGGAGAAATAAGGGGTTAAGAAGGAATGGAACCCAAGCAAGACTGAAACCCAGAGGAGCAAATAGTAAATCCTGTAGTTCCATGTTCAGTACACTGGGCAAGTTGTGGTGAGATGCGAACTCCAAAGGGCTTGGGAGACCCCACCCCTATGGCACCTGAGAGTGGTTGCATTTCTATTAGAATTCTAGTCTTCTGCATTCCGACTGGAATCTCCCATCCAGCTCAACTCAGAGCATTCTAGGGCTGCTTTTCCAGCCAATATCTCTAAGCTTTTCCAGCTTGTTCCACAAGCCAGTTTAAATTGCTTCTGAACCACAAGGTCTAGTAGACTTACAGTGATGGCCCAATTTCTCTGGGAGCAAAATCTGTCTTACTTACTTACTCGTTGCTGGGATCTAGTGCACAACACCTGCAACTTGAAGGAGAGAAGATTGTTTTGGCTTATAGTTTGCAGGGGTTGTAATCCATAGTTGGCTAGCATGGTAGAGAAGAAACAGTTTATAGCATGGCAGGAGAAAGGAGGAATACACTGTTCTAGGCCACCTCCAGTGACCCACTTCCTCTGACCAGGCCTCACCTCCCAAATCACATTTACCTGTAAACTCATCAGTGTGGGGAAAGGCAGGCAGGAAGGAACAAGGGAAAAAAAACCAGGAGAATAGAAGAAAAAAGATGGAAACAAAGCTTTTGTAAGTAAGGGAAAAGGGATTGAAAGGAGGGGAGAGGAATGGGTAAAAAAAGAAGCAGCAAGGTCACATACAGGTACAAATTCCATACAATGAATGTTATTGGTACATTCATCTAAAATGTACCAATAATTTTTTTTAATTAGTAAATAAACTCATCAATGGACTAGTCCACTGACAAGTATCACAGCCCCATAATCCAGGTACCTCCCCCAAAACCCGACCTATGAGCATGAGGCCTGAGGAGGATAACTAGATACAAATCATAACACAGTGAGTTCAAAACTTAATGAATATCCTAATTTTTCTTGTATTTTCTCACCACCCCAAATCTATCTTGCTCTTCAAGATACACCTCATTAGAATCCAAGGCTGGGGGTGCAGTGATAGAGTTCCTGTTAGCTTGCTTGAGACCCTGAGTCCTCAGCAGCGTCCTCCCCGCAGCCAATTCCAGTCCTCTTTATAGAGCCTTTCTACACCACCATGGACTGCAGTAATTGTTCTCTCCTTTGAAACCCAAGAATGGTTTTTATCTTTCTGTTCCTGTGGCAGGTAATAAATATGTGTTGCTTAGTGCTTCACTTCATGTCTTAAATGGTTGTTGAAATCTTTGACTGTATTTATATTTCCATGAGCTTGTATCTTCTTGGCTGCATTTCAGGTTCCTTTGGGCGATACCATTTATATACTTACCAAGGCACTTAGGGGTTGTAACAAATTCATGAAGTACATTAAGTGACAAAAAAAAGAGGAAAATCTAAATGCATTACAGTATTTCTGAAGAAAGTGAAGTCCACACAAGTCCCTAATTTGATTGT